AGTGTATAAATTTCATTGACAAGTCAGTATATAAATTTACTACAATTTTACCAAAACATTTACTTTAATATTTTTGTGTATTAAAAATTTAGAGGGAGAGGTTATTGATGTCATCAGTTTAAAATGATAAAAGAGGGGCGCCTGGGTGGCTCAGTGGGTTAAAGCCTCTGCCTTCGGCTCAGGTCATGATCCCAGGGTCCTGGGATCGAGCCCCGCATTGGGCTCTCTGCTCAGCAGGGAGCCTGCTTCCTCCTCTGTCTCTCTCTCTGTCAAATAAATAAATAAAATCTTAAAAAAAAATAAAATGATAAAAGAGGTTTATTTGAGGATTTTGCTGCCCTATTCAGAGATAATTGATATCTCTGCATCTCTGATTAAAGTAGTAAGCATTATGTTACTGATTTTTTTTTAAAGATTTTATTTATTTATTTGACAGACAGAGATCACAAGTAGACAGAGAGGCAGGCAGAGAGGCAGGCAGAGAGAGAGAGAAGCAGGCTCCCCACGGAGCAGAGAGCCTGATGTGGGGCTTGATCCCAGGACCCTGGGATCATGACCTGAGCCGGGCAGAGGCTTTAACCCACTGAACCACCCAGGTGCCCCTCCATAATGTTTTCTTAAAACTGTATGTAAATTTGTATAGTAATACTCTAACAAATCAAAATAATAAATTATTATATATACTGCCAAAAAAACCCAGTGAGTGTTTCTGGAACATTCCTAGGAAATGAATGTTTGTGTCCACCTCCCCCTACCACAAATTTATATGTTAAAACCTGAATCCCCAATGTGATAGTATTTGGAGGTGAGCCTTTGGGAGATAATTAGGTAATGAGGGTAAAGCCTTCATGAATGGTATTAGTACCCTTATAAGAGACATGAGAGAGATGGTCTTTCTCCACAGCAAGAAGGTGAACATTTGCAAATCAGGAGGAAGGCTCTCACCAGACACCAAATATGCTGGTGCCTTGATCTTGGCCTTTCCAGGAAGTGAGAAATAAATGTTTGTTAAGTTGATGGCATTTGTTACAGCAGCCTAAACGGACAAATACAGGAATCATTCTCATATTTTTTGGCTAATGTCTTGAGATATATATATATATGTTTATGTCTTGAGATATTAAGATAATCATGAGGAAACTGGTACTATCAGTGCCCTTACTGAATAAGGCAAGCTTTCTGTTGTCAAGGACTTACCATCTCACCATGACAGAGATATGCTATCCTATGCTTTTGGAAATGGAACGCTTGGCAAATAATACTTAGACATTTTTAAGCTATGGTAATGTAGTCTGACCCTGGAAAATTAGGCCTTATTCACAACTAATAACACTTATCTCCTTCTCTAGTGCTCCAGGTCTCTTATCAGGAAAGGTCAATTATAAACCTACAGATGGTATTCAGAGTTTCCCCCGAAGAAATAACATTTCCAAAACGCAAAAGAAAAAAATTACATAAACAGAAGAGGGGTGTAAAATGTGAGAGCAGTCCTTGACACCTCTTGCTTACTGTCTGTTTCCTTGCTCTGTGCATCTTTTCCACCGATACTGTCCACCCATACTGTCCACAGACTGTAATGATGAGGTTCTGCCAATTTGACTTCCCAATTATTTTATCCATTGCTTGGATATAAATGTAAAGACCTACACATTCTTCTCCTTTCCCTTTCCCATCTCTGTAAGTTTCCCACCAGCTTTGCTTTCTTCTCTCCTGTGTGAATTCAATCATGTGAATCAAAACTCGGCTGCCCTTTCATTCTCGATGCCATGTAGCATGTTTTGAGTAGATTCAAAAAGACTTAGGAGAGAAAGAAAAAGAGTAAGAGAGTGGCATGGGGAGAGCAGATGGGCCACTGGGCATTTGGAGCAACGCAAGCAATTCCAGGCGACTGCTCAGCAATTTGGAGAGAATCATCACTTACTTCTGGAGCATGACGGTGAAGCTTTTACCTGATACAACACACAGGAGCAGTCTATGCAAAACAGATGAGTCAAAATGCCTGGTGACTCTGAGGACTGAGACACGGGCCAAACCCTACTCTTCCCTACCTGAGAGGAACTCTCTTTAAAATGAACACCATTAAAGAGGGTATAGCTGATAGTCAACTTCTACTTCCTAGAAGAATCCAATGGAGCTAGCACTTGGTTAAGTGAAAATCAGATGATGTAATGGTACGAATGGAATGGAAATTTTACAATGGTCGGCCTAAGCACACCCGGTCAAAGAGGGATGAACTGAGCAGTAAGCACCATCCTGGAATCCACACGCTCCAGCTAAAAAACTGCATACAGACCCACAGCTTATTGCCCTCATCCCCTTTTCTTTGGTTCTGAGCTCATGAAAGATGGATTTTGAGGCCCAGGAGGCAGCAGGGGAAAGGGAAGTAGGCCTTCCACATATCTCTTTTGTTTAATTCCATATCAGATGGCCACTCGGACACGTGTCCTTTTAACAGCTGTTCTACTTACCTCTCAAATGCTATTTTGCTACTTTTTAGGAGACAAGCATGAAGCACAGAATTGGAAGGCAAGAATGGGCCTGAGACTGTAACCCCTTTACAAGAAAGAATGAAAACCTAAGGCTTGTACCTGCATTAGGTCTTTTCTTAACAGCAGGATTGAAATTTTTCATCTCTCATCTTGTTCCTCTCCCATCCTGGCTTTTTTCCCTCCTGACTCAGTGGAGAGTTAGATAGTTCGGGTTCAACAGTCCAACCAGAGAAATGACCAGACACAAACGCAGACACTGAAGTGCAGACACAGCCCTGAGTTGTGATGTGCCAGAAACATTCAAAAGGAAGGAGGCCAAATGTGAAGGAAGAGGGCACTCAAGCAACCAGTCATTCAAGGCAGACACGTGAAATAACCACAAATGTTGTTTTAATAGAGAGATTCCTACCACGATTTGCCACCAGGTTGAGATGAAGTGCATTTGATTAATATTGCCTCCATTTGGTGGGTCCCCCAAGGGCAAACTCATTGGGAACTATTAAAATCTTACCGCCCATGAGGTTACAAGCTTTGATCCCATTTGCAACAATTCTTCAGAGTATTTGGTACAAAACTGAGGTGGAAAAATCTGAGTGAAGGGTTCTTGAGAAAGAACAGGGCAGCGTGTTAATTATTAAAGGGAAAATGCTCTAATTTGGGTTACGTTTTGTAGAAAAAAGACCTCAGGGATATTTCAGGTAGTAACTGGGTTTTACATAAATTGAAATGTAGATTGGAAAGCTTTTTGGACAGCTGTTTCCTCAAATTTTTGATAATTAAAAAAAGGGTTCCCAATATTGTTAAAAGGGTGGCAACTTCTTAACCAAACAGTGAATCTCATCTTTTCATCCTCCCCTCTCCCTTGGGTTAATCAGACATAGTCCATTCCTTTCTCGAATGTTATTTTTTCCCTAACCCCACTCTCCTTGGCAAATCACCAGTATTTTTTATTTGTGCATTTGGATTCAGTGGCGATATTAGCACGCCGTTCTGTAAACATACTTATCTTTTAACCATATTCAGGGCCAATAATTCCACACGCTGACTAAAGTGGAAAAATTTTCAAAATGCTTATCATTTTCCACAGTAGGATCCCTATCCAGACAGTCTAGATAAAGGAAAATGTGAAAAATAGAAGTCCCTTAAGAGTCAGTTATTAACTGGAATCTGGAGCAATCGGTTTAAGAGATGCCTGGGACAGGAAACCAGGTTTCCTTTGAGAGAAATGCGGTCTTGTTTAGGTCTAACATTTCTGTGCCAGGTTCTCAGGGGCTTTCCCCTTTGGGGGTGGAGATCCTCTGGTCAGAGACCCCTTGAAGAAGCCCGCAGGGCCCCCTGCTGGGTGCTTTGCCTCATTTAACTCTTACTACACCATGGGGAGAAAGACGCAAAGCCTCCGTTGCACAAAGGAGGATGTGTCTCAGAATGTAAGTACATAAATTGCTTAGGGAATCTCTGCTAATAAGTTTTAGAGGCACAATTGGAAGTCGAATCTGCCTACGTTTCCTTCACAGCCCTACAAGAGGCAGACGTGGAGTTGGTCTAACATGCTTTTTCCAGTTTCCAGAATGAATTCTTTGTGCGAAGTTGTTTCTCCTCCAATTTCCTCCAGGCCCATTACGGTGAGTGTTGGGGGTAATAGGATACTGGAGTTTGGGTTTTTAATTCGGGACCGCGCCTTGTCTTCGCGTCCCGGCGCTGTCCCGGGAAGGTGGTGCTAAGGTTCCGCGGTGTCGCGGCAGGAGCGGGTAGTCGCCTCCAACTAAAGGGGAAGGGTCTATCCCCAGCCTCAAGCGAACAACAAACAAAAGACAACAAAACAAAAGACAACAAAACAAATCCTCGCAACCCCGAGCTAGGCAGGGCCTCGGGTGTACCGGGGAGAGGAGGGTCGGGGCAATGATGCGCCTCGGGAGCGCCCTCTGGCGAAGACCGAGCGCGTGTCCCCGCCCTGGCCCCCCTTCGCCGCCGCCGCCGCCGCGGCGCCCCCGCCCGGCTCTCCGGGTTCACTCTCGGTCTCTCACTCCGTGAGACACAGACGGCAGCTTTCCGAGCGAGCGGGGGACAGGCTGAGGCGGCGCCAGCACAACTGCGCCGCTCTCCCCGAGAGGACCTGGGCGCCGGGAGAGAAGGCAAAGCCCGGAGTCCCATCCCCTCTCTCCCCGGGCTCTACTGAGCCGACGGGCAGCTCGGCGGCCGCGCACGGCCCCCTTTGCGGCCACTTCGCGGGGTGTGCCAGGACTTGGGGAGCGGCTCGGGAAGAGCCGGGGCGGGAGAAGGCGGCGGCGGAGAAAGGGGGCGCGCACCAGGACGGGAGAGGAGTGAGTGGCGGGCTGGGCGGCGGCTGCGGCCGTAGCTGCGGGTACCTCCCGGCATCGCCGCTTCGCAGGCAGCACCGCCTCCCGGGCCGCGGCCGCCCGGCCGGGTCCTCTGCGCGTTCCCGGGCCCCGAGCCGGCGCACGATGCGCCCGGCTGGGTTCTGATCGCCGCCGCGCCGCCGCCTCCGCCGCGATGATCCCCCCCGAGCCGCCGCAGCAGCAGCTGCAGCCGCCGCCGCCGGCCCCGCCGAACCATGTGGTGACCACCATCGAGAACCTGCCGGCCGAGGGCAGTGGCGGCGGCGGCAGCCTGTCCGCCTCCTCCCGGGCTGGCGTACGCCAGAGGATCCGCAAAGTGCTGAACAGGTGAGCCGCGGCGGGGGCGCGGGGCGAGGGCTGCGGGAGCCGGGCCCCGGGTCTCGCCGGACCCCTGGCGGCCCTGAGGCCCCTAGGGACGGAGTCGCGGCCGAGGGAGACTGAGGAGACCCGGCGACGACGCGCCCCGCGCCTGCTGGGAGGCCGTGGCAGCTTTGTCCCAGAGCGGGCAGCCCTGGGGCGCCCGGGCTGCCCGCTGGTCCGAGGCGGGAGTTCGGGGAGAGGCGGGGTTTGCTGCCCGGCTGCCGTGTGTCTGCACTCACACCCTCGCACACGCGTGTTGCCTCGGTCCCCTTACCCACTCGGACCTCAGCTTTGCGCCCCGGGGACATGGGGGACTCAAGGGTGGCCCGGGCGGAGGCGGGAAGACGCGGGGCTGCGGGGATGGCGAAGAAGTCGCCGGCCTCGCGCTGTCGCCCGCCACGGCCGGATGTCTCCAGCCTCCACGCGAGGGGACAGCCCGGGCGGGCAGGAGGGGACCCACTTCTGTCTGACGTTCCAGTTGCCGCTCAGACTCGTCCAAGCTGAGACCAGGGAACGGGAGGCTGGAGGCCTGGATCAGACCCACGCAAAGTGCAAAAATGTTGCGAGAAGGGTGTGAGCAGGAGGGGCCCGGTTGTTCCAAGGCGGGCTAAAGCCAGAGGAGGCGAGCGCAGATCGCCGGCGCCTCCAGTGCTGGAATCTGCGCAGTGAATGGATCAAGGACGAGGCTTTTTAGGCTGCGAATACAGGTTGATATGAAGATGGGGCCCCGGGTGCCCCTGACTCAACTGTTCCGTGGAGGCGACTTTTTCTACTTAAGTAACTTGAAATGGTTGAAGAGCTGACACTTAAAAAACCCAGAGGATTGGTTTTGTGTGTTTTTATTTAAGTGCGTGTGCGCTTTTTTGGTGCATCTGTGCGGGTAACTCTTAAGGTCGCTCTATTCGTACAGGTTTCTGTGTAGCACAGTTTTGGGTGGCCGAGACTCCCCATAGAGCTATGGGGAATTCACATAGAACTCTATGGGGCTTAAAGCTGTAGTGGGAGCACAAAATATGCACAGAAATAGGAGCGGAAAGATGGAGTATGGTTTAATTCAGGTATAACAAATCCCAAACCATTCCGGTCCTTTGCGAAGACTTAACATGTACATTAGCTTATTTGTGGGTACTTCAGTATGTTTCCATTTATCAGCAAACAAGAAGCAATTCACTGGGAGTGAGACAGGAGTTGGTAATACAAAGACAAGACTCTACTTTCCTTCGAGTTGTAGCTTAGGATAACACCTTCCAAAATATTACATTTAAAAGACAGTGGCCAGAAGTTGAATCAAGAAGATGTTGGCTTACTACATGCTCTATAGGTTTCCTATTCTTCACGAACACCTGTGGTTTTTTGAATCGTAAATATCTTGGCATTGGACGTTTAAATTTTTAAGCAGAGTATGTTAAATATTAATATCCCTCATCAAATTGGAAAAAAGCCTGGTGCAATCGTTCATTTATTTTTGCTTGATTACAAGTTCTTATTGATTCTTGCAAGTTATTTCTTGATATTTAATGAATCTTAGAGTCCAGAATAAAAAGATCACTGAGGAGACTTGGCTGTCATCATTTCTCAGCCAGTAACTAGCCACGTGGCATGGGGCAGAGCTGCACATCTCCCTGGGGCTTGGCTTCTGCATTTGTAAAACATGTTTTATAGTACTTGTCTTACCGCTCTTGTCATGAGATAATACTAAAGAAATACTAAAGAAACACCTGGATGAATATAAAACTCTACATAATCTCATTTCTGTAGCAGCTTTTTTGTTATATGAGGTGGGTTTGTGGGAGCATCATAGGCAAATGAAGTCTTAGTACGTCATAAGTAGAACTTTGTGTATTACTAAGCCTTCAGTGACCTGTGTGACATGAGTTGTACTATTACTAATTTACAGAGGAAGAACTTAGACTGAAAGATTGGGCCAGTGACATGTCGTCTCAGGCCCCTCTGTGAATGGGAACGTACCCAGGGTTATAGCCTTTCCACTTCAACTAAAACATCTAGTTGTCTTTGAAAATTCTTCAGAATTTTCAATATAATATTTTATATTGAGTTAATGGTCTTCCCTTGTACTTAAAGGGACAAGAAGAAAATATTTCTTCTGAGAAGGAGCATCTTTGGTATGAAGACTGAAAAAAAAGTCAGATTAAATACAAAAATCTTGATGTAATAATTTCATTAGCATGTTGATGAGTTTGGCTTCTGCACCATGATTATGTCTACAGGAGGTCATTGGTAGTGGCTGATGAGTGACTGGGCTCTACAAACAATATGGGAAGAAAGTTGAATTTTAGAGCTCTCGTGCCAGCATGTAGGTGTGGCTCCCCTCTCGTCTGAATCCTCCAAGTAGATTGGATCAGTCAGTAATGGCTAGCAGGCTGGCCCACTGGGGCCAGATCATAAGCATCTCTGTTCATTCTCTCAAAGCTTAAAATCCATCCCCCTCCTTCTTTTTCTTCTTCTTTTACTCTTCCTTTTTCCTTAATGATTCTATATCCTTCACCTGCATTGCTCTATCAACTTACTATCCTCTGGGTTTCAGTTGCTTTTTTTTTTTTTTTTCATCTGCTTCTGGCATGGAGCAACTTAGCTGTTAGCAGAAACTGAAGTTGCAAAGCTGGAAGTTTAGAGCCAATATTAAAAAAAAAACTCTCCAATTTTTGGCATGCAGATATATGGTTGGCAGCATTCTATTGCTGTGAGCTGGCCAGTAGTCTCTTCAGAGATAGAATGGGACATTGCACCACTGTTAGTTAGCTCTTAGAATCCCATTGGGCCAAAGAGGCAGTGCTGACAGACTGATGATGGTGCAGTGAGATGGGGAGTGTTAGACTACAAGCAACCTAAGCCCTGTGATTTGCCTGCCATTGGTGGAAATCTCTAACAATAGCTACCTGTCAACCCAGAGGAAGAAATGCAAATACATATGCTATCTATATCTACCCGGGGATAAGTTAAAAAAAAAAAAAGTACTGATTAATAATTAATTAAAGGTACTTGCTGTCAAGAAGCATAGACTGAAAAATGTAGTGTTACCTTAATGAAATCTGCTTGACATTATTCTGCATCATTTTACTTTCCTCAGTATAGCCCCTCATTCTTTCCCCTTCTTTACAGGCTTGTAGAGTTGGATTGCTGCATTTTGTACATGGCAGTTGGGGCATCTCACTGATTACTCACTTTCTATATAGTGATGAGTTTAGAATCTGATAGTATCCAACATTTTGGTGAAAGAGGAGGTGCTAGGTAATTTTTTGAAACCAGTTGATTGGATGTGTCACATTCTTCTCCCTGTGGTATTCAAATTTGTTTTGGCAGTGGGATGCAAGAAATCCAAGATGGTTCTAATGCTGAAATAATTGTTACTTCTTTAATTCCCAGAGATTTAGAATAATGTATTGGTTTGAGCATGGAACAAAATGTGGCAAACTCTTCCTCACTTATTTCTTTCTTTCTTTTTTTTAAATTTATTTGACAGAGAGAGATCATTAATAGACAGAGAGGCAGGCAGAGAGGGGGAAGCAGGCTCCCTGCCGAGCAGAGAGCCCGATGCGGGGCTCGATCCCAGGACCCCGAGATCATGACCTGAGCCGAAGGCAGAGGCTTAACCCACTGAGCCACCCGGGCACCCCTTCCTCACTTATTTCTTAGCGTGGAATAGTATTTATTATCCTGTCACAGGCAAGCAAGATGTGACAAAAAAGAAAACACTTCAAGGGCAACAGTTGATGACCCTTTCACAAAAACTGCTGAATACTGGTATGTTAGAAAAATAGAGGAGTAGATGCTGGTCTGTATGGTATCTGGAGATTTGCTCCTCTAAAATGATTACTTAATGAAAGGTTTGTGAAAAACGAGTAATAGCTTGTTTTGTATTTTGCGTGTGTGCAGTTTTATTTATCTTTTCGAGTTGAGTATTATTTTCAGATCTCAACAAAAATAACTGAATTTCTAGTTTTGACCCACTTTCTTCCCAAAAAGAGATTCATTGGGTTGTCTCAAGTTATAAAGGGGTTTCTGTCTTTTTGAATCCTGTAGGGGGGATATTTAGTAGAATGGAACCACTAGTGTGATGCTGGGTCATCCATTCATTTGATTTGGAACTGATGTCCAACTTCCATTTTGATTCATTTTATTAATTTTAAAATTTCTGAAAAATTTTTGAGTTGAAGACCAAGAAACATTAAAGAGGAGAGCATTGGTAGCAAGCCTAAATAAAATCCACATATAAGATAGGTTAATATGTGTATATAGCATTTATGAGTCATTAAATAAGGTGGACTAACAGAATGGCTACCAAGAACAGGAGTATGCTGGAACTAAGTAATAGGTACAGTTGATGAGGACATAATTTAGATGATCCCTTTTTATCAAGTCAGAAGGCTCTTGTTGAAAAATTGATAGCAAAGCTCTTCCTCAAGCTGCTTCTTCTAACAGATGTCAGAATGAAAGGAAAGACCAACTAGTGATGAGGATAATTGATACACAGTATTCCAAATTGAACCGGGTGGTGTGATTAAAAACAGACATTTCTAAGATCAGTAGTAAACAAAGGATGTTGAAGGATGCATTTATTTTTAACCAAAGAACAAAATTATGAAAATAAAAGATCATCCTGTATAGTTATTTTTTATAAAGAGGGCTTGGAGAAATGAGCATTTATATTAAAGTGGTATTTGGTTTACTTGGGATAGAGATAATATATTTCCAAGTAATGTGTAAAAAAATGGATGCATCTTTGTGTAATTTTCCTTTGAGCTTTCACCATCTCAAGATCCTTCAGAGTCCAGGGCCATCATAATAGAAGTCTATTTTTACTGTACACTGCTGTAATAAAGACGATATAGGAAATTAAGTTGGCTGCCCAGATAGTTCTAAAGTTGCCTAATGCAAGAGCTGATTTATTATTTAATTGCCATTTCTCATAAAAGTAGAATGCAGAATGTGAGAATACCACCACCAGG